TTATTAGCATTCATGCACTGATTTCATAGCTAAAACATGTGACGATAACATTGACTCCGTTCTTATATCATCTAATGTAAATATCATATGATCTATAATACTGGGTTATGATAAACTAAGGCCCTGTCCACATTTGGAAATGGAAATGAAAGTAGGTCGCAGAGCTACCGCGCGGGACAAAATTTCCTCTCCTGTTGGGGGTAATCTGTGGACCCGAAGCAAACCCACGGGTTTGTACAGGCGACCCTATCCATACTTGGGACAAAAATTCAGCTCCTGTGGGAGGAAGTGTTAGGACCCGGAGTAAACCCACGGGATTGTACAGGCGACCCTACCCCTTATCACGTATAAGGCAGGAATCGAAACCACGTCACTTGACTCAATGGTCGTAAAAAAAAAAATGTAATTGTTGCCTTAGCCTTATATAGCTTACTGACTTTTAGCCCGTGTAACATAACCGGGTCAAGGCTCTGTTTCCAACAGATATTCACACAAAACTTGAGACGTAGATAAACTAGAAATTCCACCAGGGCGCGACGGTGAGATTATTTCATCGCTGATTACTAGGGTCTTGCGACATCAAGGAGCCGCGGTGGTTCCGTGAGTAAGACGTTAACTCGCTAACATAAGGTCACGTGTTCGAACCCGGTGTTGGCCGAGAAACCTGCGTGGTTCGCCTTGTCAGTGATCAATAACGGAAGACAAGGCAAGACACAGCGTATAGTCCCGTGTAGACTTAGGTGTGCACGTACAAGAACCCTTAATACTTGAAATTGGAGTATGCAGCAGTGCCCCTGTCCGGACACAATTTCCCTCATAGCACACTGTATTGCGGGCGTGTTAGTCCAGTAGCTGCAGAACGGTAGAACGTTAAACCCCATTTTATTACATTTCCTGGTGTAATAATGTTGGTAATTCATTATATTTTTCTGGACATTTTCATTTCAAGATTTTAACTTCAAGACTTTTTGAAACGTAGAAAATATTTTTATAAGAGTTCAAATTCCAGATTTTTTTTTTTTTAATATACTTTCACAAACCAATGAATTGATTTCTTTGTCGTGTAAAAATTAAGAAATTATTTTTTAATTTTAATATTTAATGATATATAAACGTTACCGATAAAACGCCGAAAATGAAACATAAAGTCAATTTTTTTGTTTAAAATGTTGATTTTGTGCATGAAATGTTGACATAAGAATGCAGAAACAAGAATCATTAGTTTAGAATGTTGCGTTCGTGTCTAAAATGTTCAAACTGGAATCATGAATATTGTCCCATTTGGTCTTCCATAGGGTACTAACTTTCTGTACTACAGAACTCATGCATTCCAATGACGTCATTTCGTTTATGTCAACGTAACCCGGTTTTCATCCTCGGTATCCCCAGTGTTTTCATCCCGTTCTACTCCACTATACCATGGGTTAATCCACAGGGTTTTCACGATTTCAAATTATCTGCCATGGCCTTGATTGTAGATAAGGTCTACGAACCTATCAAGAAACAGCTGACAAACAAGTCGTTTCGCCTTCGATTTTACAAGGGTAATTAACCAAATTCATGTCCATTTACTGAATGATTTATGTAAATAATGTATATATTTCTAATTCATTTTTAATTAATTGTATTATCAAAATATGTAGTATGTTTTGCTGATTTCAAATATGTATAACATCTATATGTTCGACTTTTGTTATTATTATTGCTATTTGGTTTCTATCTGAAATGTTTCATTCTGTTATTTTTATTATTATTGAATGTATACTTGGCAATTTGGTCCGGTCTTCATTAGTTTCATATTATATAATTTGTTATCAATAAGTACGCATTTAGGCTAACTCCTAAACTTGTCCGATGAGAGGTACTTCCCTTTGCCAACTTCCTTTTCAATTAACGATGCATGGGATTGGTCGATAAAAATAACACAATCATCAAGGGCGGATAATTTGAAAACGTGTCTCCCCCATAGATTAACCCAGGGGTTAGTGGAGTAGAACGGAATGAAACCACTAGGGATACCGAGGATGTCCGGTTTTGAGAGCATTAATTATCCATCTAGCCCTGTCGACCCTGAAAGAACCATAATAATTCATCGCAATTCGATAGTCGATGGCGTATAAAAGTTCATAAATTGTCGTTACATTAAATTCACTCAACACAAGCTAGGTCATTCCGGGACTAATATAAGAGACAATTGTACATGACAAGGAGTAGGGTCGCCTGTCCATCCTCGTGGGTTTTCTCCGGGTCCTCCGGTTTTCTCCCACTGCGAAAGACCCCTACGCGCGAGCGAATTATTGAAATTAAATTAAACCATATGTTAGTCCCAAAATGACCTAGTTTGTGTCGTTATACCCCTATTCTCTCTCTCTCTCTCTCTCTCTCTCTCTCTCCGGCGACGGAAAATGGCCCCATAGTGCGTCAAGATCGCCATAAGCGTGGTAAAAGCGTGGTGGAAACGCCAGATATCGCGCTGTGGTCTCGATGGTCGCAAATGTTCGCCGAGTCGCGGCGTCTGTATTGAGCATATTCAAAACAAACGCCAAGGTTCTGCGATCTGCCCTGGAAAGATATGAAAACGCATTTTTTTTTTCAAGTTTGTAATAATTTGGGACATTTTCGTACGTTGTGTTCGCGTTTTCCGGCGACCTTATGTATTTTCTGGTCGCCGTACGGTCGCTGCAGCGCAGTAAGGACGCCACCCCTGTCTGACTGGGGCATTACAACTTTCCAGGTTAGATCGCAAAGCCTTGGCGTTTGTTTTAAAACAAACGCGGTGACTAGGCGATCATTCACGACCATGGAGACCACAGCACGATATCTGGCGTTTCCACCACGCGTTTACCGCTCTTATGGGGATCTTGGCGGGCTCTGCGACCATTTTCCGTCGCCGTAGCGTCGCAGTAAGAATGCCACCCCAGTCTGACCGGGGTATTATCAAATACTGACTTGGGGGCAGACTGTAGTGTCTTGGTAAGATTATATCGAACTTTAATTAAATCGAAACTCCGATTATGGGTGTGGTGTACATGGGTCGGCCCGCGAGTCTTATCTCCAAGAGCTTGATACCACACACAACCAAGGACATAGAATCAGTCCAGGAGCGTTTCGTACATCTTCAGTGGGTACGCCCTCATTGCACAACCGACATAATAAACTGACCCTGCAGTATGCCGATAGAGAGAGAGAGAGAGAGAGAGAGAGAGAGGGGTTTAACGTCCACTCGACACAAACTAGGTCATTTCGCGACTAACGCATGGTTCAATTTTATTCCGGAATAACACATGGTTCAACTTTATTTCAATAATTCGCTTGAGCGTAGGGTTGTTTAGCAGTGGGAGGAAACCGGAGAACCCGGAGAAAACCCACGAGGTTAGACAGGCGACCCTACTCCTTATCACGTACAACCGCAGATCCAAACCACGTCAGTTGACTCAATGTCAGACCTTATGATACAGCGCGCACGCGCTAACCATTCGACAAAGAGAAAAGATGACCTACTCTCTCTTCTCGAGACAGCGATTTTATAAGTGTGTTTTAAAGTGACTTTTTGATATACAAGGACTTTTTTTTTTATATTTGTACCAATTTTAAGGTGACTTTTGATATACACGGACTTTTTTTATCTTGTGTTTTTACCAGTTTTCAATCCATTAAGTATAATTAATTTAATTAAATCAACCTGTCCATAATATCATACTTAATGTATTGGACGTTAAATCTTTAAACATGCATTATGCAAGAGCAAATCTGCCTATTACAAGTCTTTCTTTAGGCCTGAAATATTATCTAAATTATCAATTAGACATTAATTAACTTATCCAGACCATAATAAACTCTCGATGTCAAGGCTAGCCTTCGATGTTGCTGGATTAGATTCCTATATGCCGCTAACGACCATTGATAATTAAATAAAAAAAAGTGGATAATCGAGAATATGCTGTTTATATTAATGATTTTAGTAATGATGACCGAGACTATGCAAAAATTTCACCCGCTTCTTTCTCGCCTCATAGTGGATCAATTTGACTGAAATTTTCAGCAAATTATCTTTTACTATTATAGCGAGAACTGCCATCTCTTTATCTTATCTCCCATAATGTATCTTTAATAAAAAAAACTACAAAAACAACTGTAATAAACAACAATAAAAACAACTGTAAGTCAAATCATTTTTAAGAGCCCTCTTTCTCGACGTGAATTGTTATATATTACATACTTGAATTTTAAAATGCCACTGCCATTGAGTCAACTGGCGTGGTCTCGAATCCCCGGTTGTACGTGATAAGGAGTAGTGTCGCCTGCTAGCCTGGAGGTCGGGTGTTCGATCCCTGCATTGGCCGAGAAAGTTCATCCTGATTTTCCGACGTGGTTCCCCCCTTGTCAGTTTAGCAGAACGAAGGGCCTGACAAGGACAGCTGTCTAGTCCTTCGGATGAGACGAAAAACCGAGGTCCCGTGTAAACATTGGAAGGCACGTAAAAGACCCCTTGGCAGTTGGAATTCGATATAAGAGTAGGCGATAGTGCCGCTGCCCGGGCAAAATTTCCCTCATAGCACACTCTATGACGTACGCCCGTCTTCATTAGCCCAGTATAGGAGCAGAACAGTAGGACGTTAAACCCCATTTCCATTTCCATTTGTTTTATTCCAGGGAATTAGGTAATCAGTCAGACGTTAATGAGTACACATCACGGTGTGTATACGTAATAAGGAATAACCATACATATGCATTTTTAATTGATTATATTCATAAAGTATTTAATATTTTTTATATTATCTGTGTTATTTGTTTTTATTTATGGATGTGAATATATTTCTGTGATTCCTTTCATTTTAACTCGAATAATTCACAATATGTTTGGAGCAAAAGAGACCTCTTGGTTCTGGCGTGCCATTAAATACCACATTTCATTCATTCATAATAACTTTTGTGATGTAGTCTCCGATATCAAGGTGGTGCAGAGAGTCGTCTCTAATATCAAGTTCTTCTCGATACATATTACCAGACGCGGGATAAGACGGGTGTCATTTCGATTCAGTTTGTGCAGAGTCGCTGAGTTTTCTATTCCTTGGATTTTAAACGGGAAATTATTTCACTAGCTTTCTACAGATTTACGTCATCATGAATATTTTGCTCATGCTAATCCTCATTTCTGGTAAGTTTGTTTTTATACGCCCACATTTTCATATGGACGTATATTGTCGTCGCCCATGTCCATCTGGATGTCCGCCTGTCTACAATTGGTTTGTGGACACTCTACAGGTCACAATTCTTATTCGATTTTGACGAAACTTAAAACAGAGGCTTATCTCCCAAGAATCTGGGGTTTCTTTTGATATTAGCATGAATCGGACCATAACTTCTTGTGGTCCCTCTAGAGGTCATAATTTTATCCGATTTCGATGAATCTGAAAATATATGTCAAAGACCTAAAGATCTGGGTTCCGTGTGATATTCACGCATATCGGACGGCAACTTCCTGATTACGAAAACGCGTTTTTTGAGATTGTGGTCCCTCTAGAGATCACAATTGTTACCAGAATTTAAAAACCCTTCAAATGTATCACCACTACACCCTAATGGTGGTTTAATTCGATTTTCGTGAAAAGCAGATCGAAATCATACGCAAATAGTGGAACAAAATTTAATACTCTAGAGGTCACAATTCTTATCTGATTTGGGTGAAACTTGAAATACACGTTTACAACCCAACGATCGTGGTTCCTTTCGATATTTGCGCATATCGGATCGTAACTTCCTGAATTATTGGCCTTGATTGAGTGTACAATAAATCGCGTTTCTAGCTTGTGGTCCCTCTAGAGGTCACAATTATTATCCAAATTTTAAAAAAAAGTTTGAATATATCACCGTTACACCCTAATGATGCTTGAGGGCGGAATTTCGTGCCAATCGGACCAAACCTGGCGGACAAAATGGCCGCACCTCGTATGCAAATAGTGTAAATATATGGTATATCAAGGTTGTGGACCCTCTAGAGGCCATAATTTTAATCCGATTTGGATGAAACTTGATGTTTATATCACAAAGATCTTGGTTTCTCTCGATAATCGCGCATATCCGAACGTAACTCCCTGGATTATGACCTCTGATTGTACGAAAAATCACGTTTTTAACTTGTGGATCCTTTAGGGTCATAATTTTTATCCGATATTAAAAAGCGTTCAAATATATCACCATTACACCCTAATCACTGTTGAGTGCGAATTTCGTGAAAATGGGAACTGTCTGACATATTGGCCGCTCCTTTTACGCAAATAGTGTAAAAGTGTTTAACACCAAGATCGCGGGCTCTCTAGAAGTCACAATTGTTGTCCGATTTTGATGAAACTTAAAATATATCTTTATTACCCAACTATATCAGCCCATTTCGAATTTCAATATTTGCGCATTTCAGACCATGACTTCCTGGATTATGACCCTCGATCCATCTCTTGCAAAATGTGGTTGTTGACTTTTTTGGAGTAGAGTGGACAAAGATGGCTTGAATGAACATTGTCTGCCAGATTTGGGTAAATATTCATGATTTAGAGGCGGGAGGATAACAGAGTTATAGGTTACATATTTTTAGTATGCTTCTTCAAGTTTGTGTATCTCAAAATTTTGGTGTTAACCTCATACAAAGTTTGGTGCAAGGACATGGCCATTTGTGTTTCTGTCTGTAGTGAATAGCATTCAGCCCAACAACAATTGGGGGAAGAGTTGGAGTCGAGCAAAGAGGCCAGAATTTACATTGAAGTCAAAGGGGAAATTAATGGTGGTCTGCCTCCGTGTAACTACCGGATTGTACGAAAAATCGTGTTTCAGCTTGTCACATTTTTTATCAAAACGTTCAAATATATAACCGTTACGCCCTAATGACGGTTAAATTCGAATTTACTGAATATCGGACCGACACTTCCAGACAAAATGGCCGTTCCCCGTTTGCAAATAGTGTAAAAGTATATAATACCAAGGTTGTGGACATTCTAGATGTCACAATTTTTATCCGATTTTAATGAAACTTAAAATATTTGTATATATTCCAAGGATCTCACTTTCTTTCAATATTCGCGCATATCACGTGTAATTACCTGGATTATGGCCCCTGATTGTACGTAATTATCGTGTTGTTAGCTTGTGGGGCATCTAGGGGTCACAATAATTGTCCGATTTTGATGAAACTTAAAATATATGTTTAGATCCCAAAGACCTTGGCTCCTGTTAATATTGTCGCACGTCGGAGTGTAAAATATTGGGTTATGTACGAAAATAGCCCTTTTAGCTTCTTTTCCGTCCTTCTCTTGCAAAATGTGTCCATATCTTGCATGGCAACAGCCCGTATTATTTTGTTTTCGTCTTGGTGAATTAAAATTAATTGACATTTTAAAATATATACATATACTTGTATTTAGACAACATCTCTATACCAAACACGTTAAGCCCCATTTCATTTCTATTCCAAACCTCATACGGAAATATATATATTGTATTTTTTAACAAACGACCATGCAATAATTTAGAATTTCGTTGCAACTAAAGGAATTCCAATCTTTGTACTTATTGCATTTTTGTCTTTGTATTGTTATGCTTGGAATATGTCTTTATTAAACACTGTTGCTCAATTAACGCCTATTGCGTCACATGCAATAAATACAATACAATATCAATACTTAAATATCACTATACTGATGATATGTATGCTGCAATAATATGAACACACTGATTCGATTCACTGTCAACTTCACTGCTTTTAACACTGCATTAAGCTCATGTCCTACTGTTCTGTTTCAATTTGTTGATCCGTAAACACTTCTTGAAATTCGTCTCCAGAACCATATCTGCTTGCATACTGGAATTCCCCAACTGGTTCGTTTGCTGTGCGTTAACACAGAGTTCATTACATCCCGTGTCCCACCAGTGTACTTACTCCATTAGACAAATATTAGTTGAATTACATTGGCCTTATTGTATAACATTTATTAATTGGTTTCTATTATATCGTAATCAAATTGTACCCTTCCGCCTATTTTAAAATTAAACTTGTATTTACTACCCTTTTAACTCATATTTTCATTTTGAAGCGAGAGCCTCAACCAGAATGTGTTCACTGTCATGTTCCTTTAACAGTAAAACACATCTTGATTGTTTGCAATCATCTCAAACATATTAGATCTAAATGTAACCGTTGCCAGTCACCACGTCAGCTATTTGCTCAACCGGAGCTTTATGATAAATTGCTAACATTTTTAAAAGAGACAAACTTTTATTCAAAATTTTAATTGTATATATTTGTCATATATTGAGTTTTAAATATTTATATAAGTAAAGGAATTGATATATTTATTTTTAATTATATTTTCTGTGATATTTGTTTTTATTTACATATATGAATACATCCCTGTGATATTGTTTTAATTTGTCTCGTTAAATTCACCATATGTTTGGCGCAATATAGCCCGGATGGAGCTGACCTGCCATTAAACAACATTTCATTTCATTTCACTTCATTTTGAATACACCTGTGTATTTATCTATAGTTCTAGTTACTTTTAAATAAATACCTAAATAAATTATAAACATCAGATAGCTTAAACATACATTATGACGTCAAATTAATAATGATGTCATTGTATTAATATAATGATATATATATATATATCATATATATATATATATATATCAGTCGACATTTTATATTTCTTATTGTTATAGTAATATGTATTTTCTTTATTCATTATTATGCATTTATTATTATATGACTCACTCACACTGTATATACCAGCACCCGAAATTCCGGGGGGCTAAGTGGGTAAGACACTGGCTCGCTAGCCTGGAGGTCGGGTGTTCGATCCCTGCATTGGCCGAGAAAGTTCATCCAGATTTTCCAGCGTGGTTTCCCCTTGTCAGTGATGCAGGACGGAGGGCCTGACAAGGACGCCTGTCTAGTCCTTCGGATGAGACGAAAAACCGAGGTCCCGTGTGTATATTGGAATGCACGTAAAAAATCCCCTAGCAGTTGGAATTCGATATAAGAGTAGGCCATAGTGCCGCTGCCCGGGCACAATTTCCACCACAGCACACTGTATGGCGTATGCCCGTCTTCATTAACCCAGTATATAAGCAGAACAGTAGGACGTTAAACCCCATTTAATTTCATTTCATTTGGGTCTATTCCGCGCTGGTATTAAAGTAGCGTTTCAAACTTTCTAATGATCCTTGTGCTAGGGAATAATTGAAATAAGGATCTAAATGTACCATATTATGCAATTAAGTCTTGAAATCTCTCTCCATTGTATTTCCATCCATCATAAACTGTTCTCTACTTTCAGGTGTTGTTGCTATGGTAGCCACAGACTGTGACGTAGCAGGATGTATGCGCGGGATGCCTGAAGCTGGTTCTGGAAAGAGTATTTGCTCGTAAGTAACATTAGGTGGCCATAATTGTCTAAACTGTAGAGCGTGTTTGCTCGTAAGTAACATTAGGTGGCCTTAATTGTCTGAACTATAGAGAGTGTTTGCCCTAAGTAACCTTTAATGGCCACAACTGTCTGAGACTTGATAGGCGTCACCGCTGTCTGTCTTGAAAACGCCCTATAAATACAACACAATGGCGGATACACGCCCAGCGATAGAGATTCGTACGGATTCCCTTAATCCCTTAATTTAGACTCGGTATCTCCTTATAAACAACTTAGTATCTCCCAATTATGATTAAGTATCTCTCCATCTGATTATGAATTGGTTTCTACGAATTTCGCCTGAAGTTAGTATCTCCTAATGTCAGTTAGCACCACCCACTTATAACTAAGTATCTCCCAGTTAGAACTTAGTATCTCCTGAGTATAACTTGGTATCTCCTGAGTATAACTTGGTATCTCCTGAGTATAACTTAGTATCTCCTTTTTCTTTTTTTAGTTTGAGTCATTCTATGTGTCTATGACTAGTCTGTGTCTACGGATGTATTCCGTCTGACTTACCATGTTTTTATTTAGCAAAAAATTCAAATATTTTTCATATATATCTAGCCAGGTGTGCCGCTATTTTTTCATGTGTTCCAAGGTGTGCCGTTGGCAAAAAAAGGTTGAGAGCCAATGTCTATTTTCTATCTTGTCCGCAGGTTTATCTTGTAGATTTTTGTTTTACCTGTACTGCGGTCCTCCTGCACTTACTATTAATATCTCCCAGTTAGATCTTTGTATCGCCTCATTATGGCAGTATCTCCCCATTATAACTTAGTGACTCCTAATTATGACTTGATATCACCTAATTATGACTTGATATCACCTTATTATGACTTAGTATCTCCCCATTATAACTTAGTGACTTGATATCACCTAATTATGACTTTGTATCTCCTCATTATGGCAGTATCTCCCCATTATAACTTAGTGACTCCTAATTATGACTTGATATCACCTAATTATGACTTAGTATCTCCCCATTATAACTTAGTGACTTGATATCACCTAATTATGACTTAGTATCTCCCCATTATAACTTAGTGACTCCTAATTATGACGTGATATCACCAAACTATTTTCAACCCAAAGAAATATCAATGATACTGCACAAGGTTGAGGAATTAGTGCTGATAAAGGGAGGAGGTTATACGGGTTATATCCTGTTATAATCCTGTAGATTACACAGAAAACTTCAATAATTCGCTTGCGCGTAGGGGTCTGTAGCAGTGGGAAGAAACCGGAGCATCCGGAGAAAACCCACGAGGTTGAACAGGCGACCCTACTCCTTGTCACGTACATACGGAGAATCGAAACCACGCCAGTTGACTGACAGACTGGTTAGCACGTGCGCGCTGTATCATGAAGCCTCTCATTGAGCCAACTGGCTTGGTTTCAAATCCCCGGTTGTACGCGACAAGGAGTAGGGTCGCCTGTCCAACCTCGTGGGTTTTCTCTGGGTCCTCCCACTGCTAAAGACCCCTACGCGCAAGCGAATTATTGAAATCAAATTAAACCATATGTTAGTCCCGAAATGACCTAGTTTGTGTCATTCGGGGCAGAACAGCAGGACGTTAAACCATACACAATCTAATTCCTATTTAAGAGTCCAACCTCATGGGTTTTCTCCGCCCCCCCCCCCCCCCAACTGCTAAAATAGAACTAAACTTAATGTTAGTCCCGAAATGACCTAGTTTGTGTCGAGTGGACGTTAATCCCCATTTCTCTCTCTTTCTCACGTCGGTCCTTCTTCCGCAATTTCTTGTAAACAATCTACAAACTACATGTACATGTATTATCTGATCAATTTGAAATTTATATATATTGTTTATATTCGTGCGACGACGTATCCTGTCGAATTGCAACAATTTTAAAGATACATTATGGGAGATTGGATAAAGAGCTGGCAGTTCTCACTATAATAGTTACAAACTAGATAATGTAAAGGCAATTTGATGAACATTTCAGTCAAATGGATTCATTCTGAACCGAGATTTTAGCGATTGAATTATGGGCATAGCCTCGATTATCATTAATAAATCATGAATGTATTTTAAGCAACAAATCGGATCCTAATCCAGTATATATACCAGGCTAGCGATGACATCGAGAGTTGATTATGGTTTGGATAAGTTAATTAATGTCTATTTAATAATTTAGATAGCATTCGAGGCCTAAAGAAAGACAGGAAATAAGCAGATTTGGCTCTTGCATATTATATGTTCAATTAATTAGTTCTGGAGTTATGGTTCCTGTTCCATTTCGTTGAACCTCGTGAACGCTCTAACGACAAAAGATATCCGATCTGTATTGAATTTACATGTATGTTTTTAAAATTGGTAAAACGAAGAAATCTGCTGAATTTGAGCAATTTCCCTTTTCACGTTGTTGAACCTTCTTGTGAATGCTCTAACGGCCACAATTATTATTCGTTCTGTTTGAAAATTTTATCAGCTTGTCTTGTAAATTCTCCCATTTTCAACAAAAAAAATGATATGTGACAACCAGTGACTGCCGGACGATTTAGCTGCTGTGAGCAGATGTTTCGTGGCCTGGCAATCTATCTTTTTTATAATCTGGCAATATTTACTTTTAAAACATGACACTATATTTTTTCAGACCTATGAGAATGATATTAACATGTTTAGAAAATGTGGTGAATACTTGTCCGATGTTGGCTGATCACCAGGAAGCCATAAGCAGACCTCTTGTTGAAGCATTGGACTCCTTCAGCAGATATTGCGGGGACGGTCCCCCCAACACGTTACCATAATGTTGTGCTCTTTCTGTGGGCGTTTTCTACACGGTTAGTTAACAAGGCGTTAAATGGATTTAAAATGAAATGGGTTTTACGTCCTTTAAGGTTCTGCTCAAACTGGTCTAATGAAGACGGTAATACGCCCTACAGTGTTATTTAAAAACAAGTTACCCGACCAGCAGCACTACGGCTTATTCTTATATCGAATTCTGTCATTGGTTCTTTTTTGTACAGGTCATTGTTTACACCGAACATTCGAACGACTACGATGGGTTTGTCCGGATTCTTTCTCTGGCGACCTCTTATTAATAATAGTAATAATGTCCACCGATTGCATCCAAGCTACATGCTCTAAGCATTGTAATAAGCCATGCGTGTCTGAGAGAGAGAGAGAGAGAGAGAGAGAGAGAGAAAGAGTAGAGTGAAATAGGGTTTAACGTCCACTGGACACCAACTAGGTCATTTCGGGACTAACACATGGTTCAATTTTATTTCAATAAGTCGCTTGCGCATAGGGGTCTTTAGCAGTAGGAGGTTGGACAGGCGACCCTACTCCTTGTCACGTACAACCGGGGAATCGAAACCTCACCAGTTGACTCAATGACAGACCGTATGATACACGTGCTAACCATTCGACCATCCCCCCGTCTTAGGTCTACATTAAAGCTGGGAAATCGCAGACAGTATACACTAAAAGTCCAAGGGTGGTCGCACACGGCGAGATTGTCAATAATTACAGTAACGTGTTACTATAGTTACCAAGTTTTATTTAAGTAAATGTTGTTTTGATTGTTGATTTGGAACATTGGGGAAATACATTGGGAGGGGGCACAGTATTTAACAATGTTAATATTATATTCAAATTTATTAATTCGACTATACTGTGCAGTAAAAACCGAAGGGCGTTATCTCCTCTTAACATAATATAGTTATTTCCCTTGTGGATGTCGTACTCTTTGATATGATTGGATGGTTACTGGTTACAATATCAGTTAGATTTAGATTCGATCAGGTTTTTTTTCCCCATAATCAAAGCAACAACAAAACTGTTGTTCCCTCCATACCTCCATGTTTTCACTTCATAAAGTTGCAAAATTAAATTTTGTTGGCATAACTACTGTTTAACGGGCGAATCTATAAATGAGGGGAAGATATGATAACTTATTTTTTTCTGAGCATTACAATAATGGGACATTACTAATCCTTTATCTGCGGATTCGATCCCTTTATTGTAATGTCCAGAAAAATATAAGTTATGTCCCTTGATCGCCATTATAACAACAGTTGGAAGTGAAAACATACTTATTTGATGGAGAGGACTACCGTTTTATTGCTGCTTTGGGTATATTTTGGAACGATAATACTAGACTTTATGGCGCAGAAAAGTATTTGGTGTTTCTACTCTGTTGTGCAAAAATTTCACGAAATAAGAAACAATTGGTTGGTGCTGGTTGATTTGTTATTGTTTGGGGTAAGGCAATTTCTCTGTTATTTTTAGAGCAAAAGTACACCGTCGTCTAATTAGTAAAATAATATATACCTGATCAGACATAATAATTGTGTAGCAATAATATTTTCTGTGGGCTGATAGTGGAAAAAATTCGATTAGTCAGGAGGTAATTGCTAGTTGACTATAAATTACCGGATGTGGACACTTCGGTTGACACGGCAAATACTGGAAGTGGGCGTGGCCTGCCTATGTATTTGTCCACCCAAAACGATCGCCATGTTAGTTCAAGAAATTGAAAACAAGTATGGCGGTTGTTTTGGGCGTAACCTTTTTTTTTTTTAATTATTTCTGTAGTTTTATAATCGGAGTTCAGCTTTAAGGCAGGCACGTAGCTAGCGCCGGCGCGTGTGTTTGTGTGTGTGTGTGGGGAGGGGGGCATGAGGCCGAATGACCATGGTTGGGCTGCCCCCCCCCCCAACAAGCTACGGGCCATTTATTTATCTATTATTTTAATTATTATTATTATTTACACCTTATTTTATTTTTGTGGTACTGTGCCCTAATTTATTTATCATTTGTTTTTTTATATTTTCAGGAGTTATCCAGTCTCAGCATTTGCTTGCCGTAGTCCCTGTAGCATTCGCAGCGGCGTCTATAGTCGTTTGTAAACATAAATTGTATTTTTTCTTGGACTGATATTTAGAAATTGAACATATTAACACAAGGTACGGGTTTAGTTGTAAATGACCCCCCCATAATCAAAGGTGTTAAGATGTATATGTTACTTGTGTTGCATATTGTGTATTATGTTTGTCTTCTAATCATTATCGGTATCATTTACTTAATAAAGACGAGAGTATCCCCGTCGAAACGTCGCTTAGTATTAAACTCAGTAATTGTGTAACGTTGGTGCAATAAATAACACAAATAATTCTTCATGAATTGTGCATACCCTATAGTTTCGGGTGCCATTTGTTCAAAAGATTATAGCCCTAAGCCCTTTAAGCATACCAGCTCCTGCCAATACCATCGCCACGTATTCTAGCTGCTCCTCTGACATTCACTGAATTCTGTAGAATTTTAATTGGGTTAATCCGTTTATATACGCCCACATTTTCACGTGGACGTATATTGTCGTCACCCCTGTCCGTCCGTCCACAATTTGTTTGTTGACAACTCTACAGGTTACAATTTGTATCCGATTTTGACGACACTTGAAATATAGTTCTATTTCCCAAAGACCTCGGTTCCTTTCGATATTGGCATGTATCGGACTAAAACTGCATAGATTATGGCCCCTGATTGTACGAAAAATCACATCTGTAGCTTGTAGACACTCTATAGGTCACAATTTTGATCCGATTTTGATGAAACTTGAAATGCATGTTTCGATGTTCGCGCATATCGGATCGTAACTTCCTGAATTAATGCGTTGATTGATAAGAAGCCAGTTTAAATCTTTCAGTACAGGTGTGATGTGCTCATATTGTTTCGTTCTGGTTATAATACGGGCAGAAATATTTTGAATTTTTTTTAAGATGTTGTAAAGTTGATGCGGGAATGCCAAACAGTAACCAATTGCAATAGCCCAGGCGAGGTGTGATCAGAGCATTTACTTTGGTTTTAGTTGTATCTGTATCTAGGTATTTACGAATTCCCGCAGAGATGATTGGAGGAAGATTTGCAAATTGAAGAAATATGTTGTGTAATGTCCATGGTGTTGTTAAAAATTAAACCAAGGTTTCTAGCGGAATCTGGAGATGTTATGTTATCGTTTCCAAATGACAATAAAAGGTCCTGCGACATACAATTGGGTATCATCAGCAAACAAGTGGTGTCAAACTGCATAATAATGTCTCCTAGTGGAAAAATGTAGACCGAAAACAAGAGCGGACCAAGTACGGAGCCGGACGGGACACCATATCGCAGGTAACTTCCTGGATTATGGCCTCTGATTGGTAGAAAAATTGCATATTTAGCCATGTGGTGGCCTCCATTTAACATGCGGTAATTCATCAGTTATGAAACTTGTCAGATGTTAGAGGGTATCAGATTGGACGTGCTGGAATCAAATTCTTTCAATCTCAAAAACAGTGAGATGGGTGTGAAAAGGGGGATTTCGGGTTACAACGCAAGCACAGACTGCATACGAACCAGAGAGTTTAATGGAGTTGTTATAACCACAGGCCTAAACATTAGGTAAACCGGGCAGTCGTGGATACTGTTATAACTACACGCCCAAACATTAGGTAACCCATGAAATCATGGGCACTGTTACAGCCACAGGCCCAAACATTAGACAAACCATGAAATCATGGTTACTGTTACATCCATGGGCCCAAACATTAGGTAAACCGGGCAGTCGAGGATACTGCTATAACTACACGCCCAAACATTAGGTAAACCAGGAAATCCTGGGTACTGTTACAGCCACAGGCCCAAACATTAAGCAAACCAGGGCGACCTGGGTACTGTTACAACCATGTTATTATTATTATTATCATTATATATTTATATTAGCGCCGCTTCCACAGCACTGTGCTCCAGTACGCTTTACAGTAAAGATATTCAAGCAAATATGAAAATGCAGGACGTAGGGCCTGATAAGGACAGCTGTCTAGTCGTTTGTCTTCATTAGCCCAGTTCGGAGCAGGACAGTAGAACGTTAAACCCAATTTCATTTCGTTTCTTTTAATTAAAAGACAATATTGGTGCCAGTCATTATCACATATGTGATAGAACTGGTTAAACACGTTCCAAATATTATTTTATCACAGAAATAATTGCTACGATAGATGCGTAATCAATGTTTAAACAATCGGAAGTGATGCGCGCAAAACGAATACACGAGTTGTTTAACATCAACTCGACACAAACTAGGTCATTTTGGGACTAACATGGTTCAATATTATTTCAATAATTCGCTAGCACGTAGGGATCTGTAGCAGTGGGAGAAAATGGGAGGACCCGGAGAAAACGCATGAGTTTGGACAGACGATCGTACTCCTTGTCACATACAAGCAGGTATTCAAAGTCACGCTACTTGACTCAATGACAGACCGTGTGATCAAATGCGCACGCGTTAACCATTCGGCCACCCTCCCCCAGTCTTTTCTCGGAGAATAACCCTTGTCCTTGTCCGAAATTAAAACATGGAGTGATTGGGGATAGGAGATAGCTATTTCACTCACCGAGGGTTGATATGTGAAATAACCTCAGGCCTAGGTTGCCCCACCATAAATAAATATCTCGAAATATCTCGACAATTACACCACAATACTTATATATATACTAAGCTTTAAATCAGTTTCGCACAATTATAGTCACTAAATAAACGGTCATGTTGTACTTAATAAGATATGACCATTTAACCATCTATAAATAATATACTGAAAAATGGTTCGGAGTGTCGTCTATGAAATCCAGACACTTTTGAGCAAAAGATAGGTTACGTGCCCTTGTTTTGAAATTAGTCTCAATTAACCAGTCTACCGATCATTCTCCGTCTGATTGACAGGCCGGGATAATCAAGACTACTTTTTTTACGAAACATGACAGAAAGCTAGAACAAGAAATTGAATTTACAAATAACGCCCGGTGGGCGACACAACAATTGTTTTAATAACCTTGTAAAAGTAAAACGAAACTACTGCTAATATCATTTTCCTGCCCAACCCGCGTTATTCAGAGAGATTATTTGTACTAAACCAAAAGATGCCACTCTTAACAGTCTAGTTAATAATAAAGCAATTGAAAAAATAAAACGAGCGTAATTTCTAAAGCTGCAGTAATGACCAAAAAGCTAAATATTATTGCTATTCAGAATCGTCAACAATAGATTATTTACGTCTGTAATAGTTATTACAAGTGTTGAGAATTTCACGTGCTGTGGCTATTTATAGACACAAAGAGAGATCGAGACTCGTCTGAAATCATACTGCACGCAGCGACCCATCTACGTCATACTTCCCAGAATGTGACACTGCACTGATTATCCGCCATTTAAAACGATCATGTGATCATTTTGGGGCGGGACTTATCGATTCGACACCGCTTTGTTTAGACAACAAAGTAAAAATAACCCACGCACGTGTGTTTTATGTAAACACGGCATGTCGCTGACACTCGCGTAAAAGCGATATATAATATGTGCTATGGGTAATATTGCAATAAACTCTTTACCATTGTAAACTGTCTTTAGAGTTTCAATCTGTTTATCTTTCAAAACAAGGTTAGATACTCCTAAATTTGTTTTCGCAAACAAAACCGCCTCTGTGAAATTATGTTTCATGGGCGCCGCCATATTGAATAATTAGAGGACTATTTTGTGATTCGGCTTTGATTAGTTTGACATCTTTCATACACACAGCGGCTAAATAAACATATTTAATTTCATTCAATATGACAATAGAAGAGAAATAAATACTTTTAATATTTTCTAAAAGCATACTCAGTGGTTTCGACTAAAATCGTCGATGTAGGAATTTAAATGTCGGTTAATTAGCTTAGGGCCTATTCTCAGCCGGAGCTAGCTGTAGATAGGCAGCCTAAGTTTGGGATGGTCTGAAATCAATTAGAGTTACATCACTGAAGCGTGCACATTCAACGTGTCGAGTACAACTTTTAGAAGGGAAAAGATTCGGCCACGGGGCACCCTTCCTGTCAGGTCGAAAGCCGTGGGTTATTTCACATATCGACTGAGGGTATTAAGTTAATATTTGTCTTACATACTGACGTCAATGTTAAATCTATCCTAATTGATTTCACCTATAAGACAATGGTTTAGCCCATATCGGCCCCGCGATTGATATGACAAAAATGAAGAAAACAAGTTATAAGTTGCACGTGCCTTACATTTTAGTAATCACACGTTGACAAACTGGCATTCATTTTGTACAATGTTGTCAAACGATTCCGACGACGAACTCATCCGAGCAAGGCAGAAAATGTGGTTGAAAAAGAAAACGAAGATTTTGACAAAGAATTATTTAAAGCTAGTGAAAGTGCAGAATTTATGCAAAAATATTTAAGTAGAATTTAATGTACTCGGATATGAAAACGTTTTCGAATGACAAAAAGTCGTCAGTGAAATTGCCAAAAATGTCCTGCCCTGCATAAATATGAAATCGTTCAGTTGGGACGAAAACCTAGGTCCCGTGAACACACTGACGTGCACGTAAAATATCCCTTGACAGATGGAATTCGATATAAGAGTAGGCCGTAGTGCCACTGTCTGGGCAAAATTCCCTCATAGCACACTGTATGGCGTATGCCCATCTTCATTAGCCCAGTTCGGAGCAGAATTATAGGACGTTTAACCCATTTCGTTTACACGTATATATTCTAATATGCTGAGTTCGATTATGCATTTGTCTATAATGCAAAACGCGGAATGGAAAAGTGTAATGCGCAAAATAACTATTATATTGTATTTTGTATTATTGAAAAGTGTATTCTGCCCAACAATACAACACAAAAACACCAGCCACTTGACCAGGGAATTAAAACGAGAGCATCGCTACCGCTGCAATATACGTCCACATTCATACTTTGATAAATATGAAGAGAATGAAGTATGAAATGGCTGCAACGACTGTAATATGACAAGAGGCAAAGAAGGCTAGGCGTTGGGTATGTTTTGCCAAATTTACAGACTAAATATAAACAAAAAATAGGTGCCACATCACCCCTGGGGTTTGGGCACCACATCGCCCCTGGGGTTTGGGCATGCACGAAAATGAATAGTTGCTATCCATACAGTAAAATGAATAAATATGCGAAGTTTCAAAATGATCCATTCAGAATTCCCGCCTGTAGACAACAAACACAAAAATTGGCCGTGGTTCTGCCCCTGGCTGTTGGACATGGATCAATATGAATAGGTACAACCCTATGATGGATCATGCCGAATTGGATCAAAGTCTGTTAATATATTGCAACCTTTAGAGTATTTACAGACAAAATATTAACAAAAACTGCCAAAGATGGTCGGATCATGCACCAAAATCAATAGTTGCCGTCCATAGGCTATAAGGAATACGTATGCCAAATTCCAAGATAACATACCTATAAGTTCAAGGGATATTCCTGATTTGACAATGAACCTCCCAAATTTGATTACTGCCATAGAAATATTGTTTTATTTGGATTTTAGAACACATAGTAGGTTATGACTTCAGGTCTATCGAAAGTTTTACGAAATATATGAACTAAAATTTACAAATTAATGATTTTATTTGATCAGAAATATTAAACTAAATTAAACTACTGACACCCGATAATAGATTAGAATATTAGTAAAAAATTATTAATAATAAATTTGGTACTAAATTATAATAACGAATGACACCCAAACATAAGACTTTTTAAAAATGTACATCCTGAAAACGCACATGTACTTGCAGTTACATGAATTTATAATTTATTTAGTGTGAGAGAGAGAGAGAGAGAGAGAGAGAGACATTGTCATTGCAGTACCAAAAGGTCTTTAGCAGTGGGGGGAAAGGGGGAGAAAACGGTGGTTTGAAACGTCAACAAATAACCGGTATAAATACTTCTAACACTTACAAAGCGTTCTGAAAAATAAGTTGAACAAAGGCTCTCAGAAACCACTCACAAAAACCCGAATGTTACATGGGTGACAACTATTTAAAAGCATATCACGTCAGTTTGACATTGTTAAATGGAGTTTGACATTGTTAAATGGAGTTATCTCCCCAAAATCGGGCATGCACCCAAAAGAAAAGGGACCAA